CTTCGGAAGCCTGGAGTGAGATGGCATGCTCGTCGGGAGCCCTTCTCTGCTCTCTCGTTATTGATAGAGCGCGTTTTCCTTTATCTATTAAAGTACTAACAGCAGAGTACTTTTTTTCCTGGCTTCTTTTTCCTGCGTTTGCTTGCTGTTTATTTCTTTTGTTTTGACTAATCCCTGCCTAAATGCTGCAGAAGTTTAAAATAACTAGTGATCCGTTGGACCGCTGTAAACACATGTATATACTAATGCAAATGATGGCTTCAGGATTCCTGTCTTTCATGTAGTCACTCATGCCCACTTTTTTTCAATAGGCATACGACCGCCTATTGTGAATGGTCCAATGCCAGCTCGTCCTCTGGTTGCGCTCCTGGATGGAAGAGATTGCACTGTGGAGATGCCCATCTTGAAGGATGTTGCTACAGTGGCATTCTGTGATGCTCAGTCAACTCAGGAAATCCATGAAAAGGTGGGAATGAAAACATGCAAGCATTTGGGCATGGAGCTAGCTAACTATGAGAGTTATCTCAGAGAGTTAGCAAAGAGAGATGAATTGATTGAGATTGTTTTTTATTTGTAGGTGCTGAATGAGGCAGTAGGCGCTCTGATGTATCACACCATTACCCTGTCTCGTCAGGATCTAGAGAAATTCAAAGCCCTCAGGGTCATTGTACGCATTGGCAGTGGCTATGACAACGTTGACATCAAATCAGCTGCAGAGTTAGGTATGACAACACCATCGGGGCTCTGTTGCAACTATAACTGAATGTGAAGAGGAACGCCACACGTTTTTCTGCTTTTTAACTGAGTATGTTTAAAACCTTTAAGTAGAAAGACTTGGAGCTGCTTAGTATGAGGCATTTTTAGGAAAAAGATAAACGTCTGAGCTGGTAGGTGGCTCGAAAGGAAGTTTTTGTGTTTTCAGAATACTCTGCTATAGATGTCACAGAGCCTTTGCTATTGTCTGGGATTCAGAAACCTATATACAATGTCTAGATAATTTCTCATTGGTGAGGTAATTTAGGGTTGCTTTTGGGAAAAGCACTGAGCAAACTGTGATGTCTAAAAGGCTGCAAATGTTGATGTAGGGTAAACCCACTGTAAATGCTCAATTATTGAGTTTTTGTGTTAGTTTTTATATGCAGGTAAGTTTTGATTCAACACCTTATTATACATCCCTTTACAAGTCTGGAGTTCAGGTATGCGGAGAGTCTCTGGGTCAGATGACAAAAAGCTGCTGTTTATTAAACACATGGCAGTGAGGCATTTGGACCTTGTAGGCTCCTTGGGAAGGCCCATCATTTGAATGCCCTGTGCTTTCTTTTTTAGGGTTATGTCTGTGGTTTGACACCTTTCTTAATGCAAAATAGGTTTAAGCTTAAACCAAATGCAAGCATATATTTATAAAATTCAAACAGGCAACATAATTTCAAGATCTGTAAGAAGAGGGAAATTGCAAATAAATGAAGAACACACATCTTTGTAGCACCTGAATTAGGTGTAAAGAGTCTTTTCATCTGAATGCTTCAGTTGAATATTCTCAAGAGTTCCTGGCAAGGTCTTTGGCTTTCATCCAGCCATTACATTTTGGGGTTGAGTTCATGGAAGCCAGCCCATACCTAGGGGTTCTCTATTTTTTTATAGTCACGATTCATATTTTCAACTCATTCATATTCAAAGCTTTCCCTTTTCTTGCCCTCCGCAATCATTAACAACAGATCAGAGTTCTTTTGCCATCAAACTGCTGCTTTCACTTTGGAGGGACAGTCTGGCGTCCCTTAGGCATGGCCATTCTTGTCTCCTCATGGATGGGTAACGATTGTTTCCATGCTTAGCCAGGCCCTTTAATTCATTTTGAGGCATGATACTATTCTTTGAGTTCTGAATATTCAAATCAGACTGAAGGGTTATGGTGTCCCTTTGGGTTTTCCATATTTATACATCGTGTTTCATGTGAATGTTTGTATCTTAGTTATGTAACAGATGAAAGTACGTAGCTTTTTTGAAGTCAAATGAGATGGTAACCAGTGAACGAGATTAAAAGAAGTTAGGTTTCCCTATCTGCCTTCTTCATCTCCTCTGTGTCTTCTGTGTGGCATTATGGCACGATTGCAAAAGGACTGGATAGAGAAAAGAGGTCTGATATCTGGGATTGTGTATGGGCATTGCTTTCCTCATTCCCTTGGGAGAGTGTGGTCTGAGTTTATTTGAATGTCTGCTCTGTCACAGGCTTTCAAGAGGGTGATGTGTTGTGGAATTGTACGTGCCTTCACCCATCACCCAGATTTCATTCCTAGTTTTCAGGTAGCTGGTGGACTTGCCTTGGTTTGGCAAGTGTCTAGGGTTACACCTGGGAAGAGGCCCGTTTTTGACCTAACTATCTTGTTTTTATTTCTTGCCTACCAAAAGTTTTGTCAGCTGAAACACTCTCTTCTAAGATGTGCCCATTCAGGAGTAGAGGTTCCTTGAATAAAGGATAGTAGCAGTGAAGTGATGTTATCAGCCTGTTATTCTGGTAGACTGCTCAGGAATGACCAGGTTTTGCTATAGCGCTCTGACATCTTTCTATTTGCTGTCAGTAATGTGTGCTTTCAGGACCTTAACTCCAGCATTAGTAACTTACCTGATGGTCCTAGCCATGGCTTTTATGGTCCCTTGTGGCTGTATGTTGATTCTGGAGTGGGAGCATTATATGTTGCTATTTTTAAATGTAATTTCAAATGGATTTTGAGAGGCTCCTATGGCTTCTGTCTGCGTTTAATGAGTTACTTACTGTCGCTCCTGGGGAAGCTGAAGCTTGCAAACGGGCATCTGGAGTGTGAGGCATGAAAGAGCTCAACCATCTGTCTCCTTAATTCTTCTACAATCTGTCAGTTAATCTGTCAGGAATACCTCTGGTGTAAGTGCATCTTTTGGATGCAGACCTTCTAAAATAGTTTCTTTTGTCACTTGTATGACCCAGTTTTCTCATTTCAACCTGTTTCTCTGCTGGTGGTGACAATCTAATGGATTTATAAGCAAGGAATGGTATTTTCTGGAGGTTAAAATGGTGGCTGGTCCCATCCATGTTGCTATAGGATCAGATCCTGAAACGTATCCTGTGTGTTTTCTTGGCAGTCGTTCTGAAACACAGAATTATCTTCTAGCCCTTGTGCCTGAAGAGACGTATGTTGGTTTAGTGTTGTGATGCTAAACATCTCATTTGAACTCTATGGCTTTGTAGGCATTGCAGTTTGCAACATCCCTTCCTCCTCAGTGGAGGAGACTGCTGACTCCACCCTCTGTCACATCTTGAACCTCTATCGCCGTGTTACTTGGCTACATCAGGCTATGCGGGAAGGGAATCGAGCCTCAAGCGTAGAACAGATTCGAGAAGTGGCTGGAGGCGCTGTGCGTATCCGTGGGGAGACTTTGGGCATCATTGGACTTGGTAAGTGATGGGGATTGTTAGACTAAAAAGTGAACTGTGAATGTTTTGGGGAACTTAGGATAATTTTACAGCTGTTCATTGTGAAACACACTAACTCATATGGAATGCTAGTGCCCTATTCTGTGATGCGGAACATCTTCAAGAGTTGGGTATATGTCACGGGATTGGGGCTTTTCTTCCTTATTCAGATGGTTAGAAAAATTGGAACATTCAGACAGCTCTTCTTAGTGACTGTTTTCCTGTGTGATAGGCTCTATACCATTAACCAAGCCACCTGAAAACTACCAATTCCTTCCTCAGGCTCCTGTAATCAGGTTATTACTATCTTACCACCTCAAGGTACAGATTTGGCTTGAAAAACGCCTCCTTTTAGGCTAAGTGCAGGTTATTGCATGGGGAAGGACTAGAGTTAGCAGCATGGGATCAGCACTGAATAACCTCCTCTGGATCCCTGTGGCAATCCTAGGGGTTTCCAGGGCTGCAGTATCTTGGGCCCTGGCAATAAGCTCAGTCTAGGCTCCCAGTCTCCCCCAGTATCTTGTCTTTAAAGTTTGTTTTACCTTTCCTTGATGATTGTGGGTTTTCTTTTGTGAAGGCCGAGTTGGACAGGCAGTGGCTCTGCGAGCCAAGTCCTTTGGCTTCAACGTGATTTTCTATGATCCATATCTGCCGGATGGAGTGGAGCGATCCTTGGGTTTACAACGAGTAGGAACCCTGCAGGATCTACTAATGCACAGCGATTGCATCACATTGCACTGCAGCCTGAATGAACATAACCATCACCTCATCAATGACTTCACTATTAAACAGGTGCAGCAGGAGCTTGGTTTCCCCCACAGAACACTGTGGAAATGAATGCAAACACAAACTGCTGCTTCCCCAGAGGCTGAGAGCGTGTGAATCCTGCTGCCTCTGCTGTGTGCCTCCTGCTGCCTTCAGGGGCTGGGAGCGTGTGGATCCGGGTGCCTGTGCTTTGTGCTGTATAGAATTACCTGTTAAGAGAAGAATAGGACTGGCTCTTTTTGCTGAGTAATTTCATTTATAAAGAAT